TTTTATTTTATTTTATTTTATTTTATTTTATTTTATTTTATTTTTTTTATTTTATTTTATTTTATTATTATTTTTTTATTCTATTTGAAATTTCATTTAAAATAATTAATTGCATCTCAATTTATCTCGATCAGTACTTATATATTATTTCTATAACAATTTCCTAAAAATATTCGCATCAAAATTAACCTAAATTCCTAACCTAAAGTCATTATTGACTGTTGCTCTAGCACCTTAAGACAACATAACCTAATAACTATTTTCTATGCACCCGACTTTTTGCATCTACAGCGCCACGTCGCGATACTTGCGATAATCGTCGGAATCATCGCCCAACGACAATTTGCTGTTCGCCGTTATGTAGGGATTCGTGTAGTTCGCATAATCGAAGCCGCCATAGTATTGCAAATGTTGAGAGTTTCTGCGCGGCAGTGGCTGCGCCAACCCGGTGCCCGTAAATGGACCCGCAACCGAACCACTCGACGGCCGTCGATAGATGCCACTGCCGTGCACCGGATTCAAATAGCCGCTCAACATGGCCAAGTAGTACTGCTGTTGCTGTGAATAGTTCTGCAACAGATTATTCCCATACGCAGCCAATTCGCTTTGCACCTTCGCAATGCCATCCAAATTCTCCAGCGATATGCAATTGCGCGTCAACTTTGTTGTTGTTGTCGCTTGCGGTAACTTCTCCGGTGAGCGGTGCCGCTGTTGTGGCGGTGTTGGTTGCTTTGGCTCGATTGAGCAGTAAATTGGATCATTAACCGAACCTATTAACGAAGGTGGCGGATGATGTTTATTCGAATCCTGTATGCTGTGCTTCAGATCGTCGATGGTTATATTGAAGTATTTGCCATTCTTGTCCTCCGTATCGAGCACGTAGCGTGGATTATACATGCCGGGCAGTGTGCAACGCAAATCCATCAATGATTGCGCGCGATGGCCTAAAGAATTGGAATGAAAGAAGAAAAAAAAATTAGCAACGTTTTTTTTTTTTTCGTTAATCACTTTTAATAACGGCGCTAATTAATCATCTTGGCGGCTTACCGTTGCGCATTTGCACACCGCCGTTTCCATAACCGCCATGGCCACTGAACTGTTGCATGTATTGTGGTGTGAATGTTGCAGCATTGAATTCATTTTGAGAGCCAAATAGCTGATTGTTGTTGTACACAGCATTTAGGCCTTGCGCTTGCGGGCCGCACATATTGATCTTCGTTGTTGGTTCGCTCACCTCATAGCCGGCATTCTCAAAAGCGCCGCCGCTCTGTCGTCGTTTACTGGAACGACGCGAATCGGCCTTGACTATTGGCACACTTGGCGGCGGTGTCTGCAATTGGAGGCGTGTGGCCAAACCCTGCAGCTGTGTCAGCACCTGTGACTCGCGGCGCCACCTGCAAGAAAGTGTATGTACGTAATAAATAGTGTAGAAAAACGAATACCAACAAAAGACTCAAGCAGCGAACTTGTAGGAAGTTTAGTCAAAGTTTAATTAAAGATAATCTAACTTATTTCATTTATCATGCATTTTATATAAATACCAACACAAATATGTGCACGAAACTTTTACCAAAGTTAATAAGAAAAGGCAAATAATAAAAATTTTCTATCAAAAATGTGCAATTGTAGCGCACAGACAATTTCTATGTTGCTTTACTTAAGTACGCAGTTTCACTGCTAAATAAATCAGCATTTTAATTGCACTTTTACTTTCCTACATAGAAATCGGTTTTTTGTTGCATACTTAGCAGAAAAAAAAACCCAAAATAAATAGAAAATAGCAAACATAGCCATAGGGAAAATTCACATAAATTTTGCGTGATGTGAAATTGAAGTCACTTTCTTTGCATATAAATTTAAAAGCCCACCACATAAAGGAAATACAATATTTTTAGATCAACAATAGTTAATGGGTGTTAAGTGAATCTACTCTATTATACGAGAAGCAAGTTAAATTTGCGATATTTATTTTGCCTCAGTTTAGTAAATGCTAAGGATATTTAAAAGCCTAGCCACATAAGGCTTTTGTTAAACGATTACGCAATGCAATTAATTTCAAAAAGTTCGAGGTGATGTCAATGTGACCAACTGCATTCGATTAAGCTGGTCAAATGACAGAGACGCTTCGAGTTTTTCGTACTTGATTAAAGGGAATTGATTATTTGTAAGAAGGCAGGTGTTAGGTTAACAAAAAAAATAATTTTGGAAAAAATTACTAAAATGTTGATTTGTTTCTTGAAAAACTCCTTTTAATCAGAGACATAGAGCAGCATATTCATTTGCATAGGTAAATAAATTTTTCAACGGCGTTGGAAAATATGGCTTTGAGAACTCCAACAATGACAAATTTTCGAAAATTCGTGATAAATACATCGCAAACAAGAACCTACATATCTGAAAAAACTAAGCATCCTTCATATACCCTAGAAATATGTATGCCGTTCTTGTTTTTATCTAAACATAATTATTTGTATGTAGACCTTTGTTAGGCATTTTCAATAGGGAGCCTGTGCGCACTACTTTTTTCGGGCAACCTGAGAAAAAAACATGCTCAAATACTAAAATATTAAACTCAATTTTGGCGTCTTAACGCCATGCGGGTTCACTAGTTTAATATATTGGCCCGCAGTCCTTTTCATTAAACGCATTACCTGCGGTGATATTCAAAAACTTTGAGAAGTCTGACCAGCTGGCCCATTCAGCTTTGGTCACCTATTATGTAAATGGTTCTTTATTAGAAGCTCTTTCTTGCCAGAATCACACTCTACTGATTTTCATTCTCTGTTATAAAAATACTTTTTTTTTGTACTTGCAATGGGAGCTTAGGTTTCATTTTTACATCGAAAATAAAACGAAACAAATGCTCAAATTTGAATCAAAACTGCTGAGGTGCAACTATTTTCGGCCACACGATTTGCTAGATTTTTTTTGATTTGATTTGATTTTTTCAATTTTTCATGCCATATACCACGCACCTGTCAAACACTCATTGCGAATAAACAACCCACTCGGTTATTGAAAATTGACCTATAATTCGTTTTGCCCCAAGCTACAGTGCCAAGTTGTGGCATGCAACACCTGCCGCCATCGAACTTGTTTCCTAGACCAGTTGCAAAATGTGTGTTAAAAGCGAGTTTCGGCAAGGTCGAAAGTAAAATTTGAATGCGCAGCGTGGTTATGCGAATGCATGCGCTTTCAATACAGGTTACTGCCACTGGCATAGTATTTTTTATGTTAATTAAGTGTTTTTCTTTTTCTTTTTTTTCATTCACATACTACATAAATGTAATGTAAATGGTTCAACTTTTGCTCTTACCTTATACCAGTTGGTATCACACAAATCAACGCAAAGCAATTTATCACCAGTCGTACAAGGTATGAAATCAACTCAGTAAGGCCATGCACCGATTGTAAGCCCTGAGAAATAAAAATGTGAGAAAAAACGTAAAAAGGAAATCGTTAGCAAAAACTCGATAATAATAAGTGTCATAAAAAGCAGCGAAAACTTTCGATAAAAACGTAACTATTGAAGCTATTATAAGCTCTCATATTTTTTGCTAGCAAATTTTGCTTAAGCATTAGTCTACACTTTTCTGTACTTACATATAAGCAAACACACAAGAAAAGATACATACGCTGCAAACCAAAGTTCCCGAAATCTTAATGAAATCTTTAGGAGTATCTCATTTCTGTAACGATTTTTTTTTACGAATCGGCAAAGAAAATTATATGAAGTGGTTGACACGAACTCGTAAAGAAATTTTTGTACGAAAAATAAAGAAAAGTCTGAAAAAAGTCTTTAAGAAATTATTCAAATAGAAGCATTTATTATTCTTTAATTGCTTTACCGATTTTCTTCCGAAATTTCGTAAAAGAATCGAAGTGTGCACAGTTTATTTCATTTTAGAAAATTCGGCAAAAAATCAGATGAGATCTTTACGAGTTCTTTAAAATTTCTCTACAACTCAGAATACTCTGGATAAATGGTTTGCAGGGTGTATAAAATCATATACATATAAATCTTACCCAATGCTGTGTTGTCATAATCATGACCAATATCAGTTCCGGTATTGAAAGTAGACCTATGATCACTGACCACGCGAACAGACCCCATGGCAAGCCGGTGACCAGTCCATGTATGAGTATTGTTGTTGCCACAAAAACTATAAAAAATTGCGTGCATAGTATGTAGGATGAGATGGGCAAGTTGCCGTGCGCTTCCAGTATCCAGGACACTTCGCAGGAGAAGGCACCCAAGTAGACAATCTGTTATGGAATGTATTAATGTCAATAAAAAAATGCACATATTGAGCTCCAAAATCATTATTTTACTACGAATGGGCATTTTTACTACAATACCAAATTTCTACTAAGCATTTAAATGAAAAAAAAAAATGTTTGCCATTTAAAAAATTGCATGCCAAATAGACTAAATGAATACGAATATTAATATAAAGACACGGGTAATATTTAATGCCCAACTTTGTCTTTAAAATTTTGATCATTTCAGTGCTCAGGCGAAATTCGCTCTAAAATAGACATACAATTTCATTTATAGATATAATGGCTTCCAAGCTAGGAAACAAGGGCCCGTCCCACCTTGGAGTCGTACGCTTTTCAAAAATAGTAAATCATATTTTTGCAAAATTTCAGCTGCGCTTAGGACTCATAAACGCCTTAGCCACTATCGTTGAACAGGAGATGGAATGCCAAGAGTGCAGACCTTCTGCCATCAGACTGGAAACTGGCAAAAAATCGATTCAATCGGCGCACAAAGTGGCCAAATGTACGTTTTCTTGGCAGAAATTTAAAAACAAAAATTGTGTATAGCCAGCAAAAAGACTGGGTATTAAATTTGTCAAATATTCCCACGATTCAGCACAAAAACAATTGTGACGTCATGAAGTCTATGCCGACCATAGTTACTGACTCTGATTGAAGCGGCAATCAGTGATCGGACTTCTACCACATTGTGTTAGATCTACCACTTTTTTGAGCATCCACCACATTTTCTACAAGATCTAAAATCTACCACATATTCGCATTTTTGAGTAGTAATAATTTAGCTCTACATGATTTTCCTTATTTTTTTTTTAATTTCAAGAGCAAAAATTGTCCAACACTAAATACTATGTGATAAACAGTAGGGACACAATATCGAACCGAAGGGTAAGTAGTAATAAAAAGACTCGATATTCCAAATATCGATACAAAATTCGAAAAATTAAATCTGAATATTGGTCTCATTTTCTAATTAAGAATTAACATTTTAATAAGTACATCACTGAAGGCGCGTCACATTGCAACCTAAGATAGTACACATTTCTGCGCTTTAAAACGCAAAATATATCCATATTGCTTTACATATAAATTCCACAGTAAGTAAGAAGGTTATAGTACGACATAGATTTGCAAGAAATCGAGCCCTAGCTACGGCTAAAACTCATATCTTATTTGCGTTAAAAATTTGTTTAAAAACAATATTAACAAGAAAACTTTCAATAGAAATCTTAGTAAGGTAAAGTCACGTCAGATACTTCGGCTGATAAAAAAAAGCAGGACAGATTTTTACATTTTTGAATTCGGAAAATTAACCTTAAATATTTCAAATATTACTAGAATAGTTTTGCCCAATTCCCAGAGTTTTTAAGTTTTGACGATTTCATTTTATTTTTTATATATATCGTTTGAAAACTATCGAGTAAAAGGTATCGGTATCGAATGGCAAGAATGTCAATGTGGTATCGTATCGTATCGAAATTCGTGTCCCCAATAACAAGAATGATAGTATACAAAATTTCGCATTCCCGGCGGCGATGAGATCTCTCTAGTAAAAGCAAACAAAGCCGAATGGGAGGAGAAAAGAAACTGTCAAACAGTGAATTTTCTCAATTTCTCAATAAAAAATTTTCGTGGGGAAACGTAGTTTTTTTGTGTTAAAATGCTAAATTTATGATTTATAAAAAGAACTAATAAAGGCGTTGTTTACTTTTACTTGAGAACTGTCAAAATCGGCAAAACCCAAGTTAAAAAAAGTTTTTCCTAGAGAATCTAATTAAAAATTTTGCAGTTTAGGTGAAACCGTTTTTTAATTTTTGTAAAAAGTTTGAACAAAACCTGAGATCTACCACATTTTTTTCCAGAATCTACCACAGAGAATTTTTATTACGTCCGATCACTGGCAGCAATACCGAAACGTGTTTATCGAAGATATGAAGATGATGCTTTTAGTGTGCGTTTTGTTTTAATATGGAACTAATACCTGCAGGTTTGTTGATCATTTGTTTGATAAATATTTGTTGTATGCGATTGAATAACACTTTTAAAACTATTTAAAATATAGAGAATTTTTTAAGATATATAAAATGCATTGATTCTTTTTTCTGAAATCGATATAACATGTTTGGGAATTGGAGCTTATTTAGTTGTTAGTACATGAAGCTTTCTTTTTAGGAAACTTTAATGAAAACCTGCGCATGTTTTTGTGCTTTTCGTCGTCCTGAAAATGTAGCAAATTTAATAAATATGTACACATTGTGCTAATATTTTTTATTGTTCGCTAAATTATAGTTAGTTTTTTCAATGTATAATAATAAAAAAATTATCGTTGAAATATTAAAAAAGAAAGTGATTTTACTTCCTTTTATTGTTTTCTAAATTGTAATTAATTTTATTTTATAACAATAATAAAATAGTTTTTGCAAAAAAAAACTTGGATTTGGCCCCTTTGTGCGGTGGTCAGTTGAATGGGAATCGAAATCGTTACAAAGCCACTGGGATATATGGCATCAGCCCATGAAATCAGTGCTGAAATATCTTTGTCTAATTTTGGACCCTAACTTTTGTACAATACTTATATTAATGCGCCTACATACAGAGCTATGAATTCTCCCGAGCAACAGATGTCTACCCCAAAGCTTTTTGGCGTTTTAGAGCAATCAGTGTACCACTGCAATGTGGTCGCCTGGACATGCTCCTACAGGTTGCTTTGCTTCAGAGCCTTGCTCATATCATCCACCCCAATACTTATTTGTGTCCGTCCCCAGAGGTTAATTGAAACTGGATGAGAATGAACTAAAAAATTTAGAACAGAATGTTCAGAAAGTCTGTTCCAATTTCACGTGGAAAAGCTGTCAAAATCAATATAGATTTTTTTTGCCGTGAGATATGGGCGTGTGTACTATGTTTGTTCATGATGATAACAGCATTTTTTCCGCTAGTTAAAACGTGCCTGTACTCTGTACACGGGCGTGGAATTTCGTCAGCGTGACATTATGTATGCTTAAGGGGGAAAATCAACTTTGCAAAAATTAAAAATTGTACATACGTATTTAAATTAGGGTGCATCGGTAAAAATCGTGGTGGGTTTTCCACCGTAATTATAATTTTTTTAAATAATTTAAGCCTTCTGCCAAAATCTTTCAGAAAATTATTAAGATTTAAGTGAGCTGGACCGATTTGAAAATACCTAAAAAAATCTGATTATTTTAATTCCGTTGATAAAAGTTTTAAACATTTTTATGCAGACCTTTTTCACTTTTACTCTATTAACTTAGGTGATTTTTTAGAAAAACTATTTTTAAAAACTAATTTAATTTATAATTTTCAAATACATATATCCAGCTCACGTAAATCTTAATCTCTTTCCGAAAAAAACTTTGGCCGCAGTCTTAAAATATAATAAATCTTATTATAGCAATGGAAAACAGTACCGATTTTTTTTTTAACTTTGAGGGTGTTGCACCCTAATGTGCATACATGCATATGTACATTAGATCGTATCAGAAAAAAAGTTCGCCGTACACCCTTAAGTCTAAGCTATTTTTGAAAGGCAATTTCGTACCACCCTTTCAACTTAAGGTTCCGGGTTGCATGGTTAACACTAATCTCCGGTAAAACATCGATGTTTAATCAAAGATTAGTGTTAACCAGATATTGAGTAACCGGCCCTAGATCCAAATACTTCCGATTATTCGAGTAGAACTACATATGTATTTAAAAAATCGAAAAATGTAAAAAGGCTACCCCTCGGTGCGACCAAAAAAAATTTCGAAATCGCGTACCGCGAACTTTTTTTGTTTGCTTGTAAGATGATACTGTCTAATGTACATAAATATGTATGTATGGGAATCGTATAAATTATTTAAATCTATAATCAATACTCCGGACCATGCAACGTTACCTGTTGATGATTACAATAACTACAACAATAAACTGGCAGTGTGTGAAAAGCGAAAGTAAATCGCTCAATCAACCAATTAAACGGTCAATCAAACGGAAAAGAAAAACACTATTCATCAATGCTACATATTTAATTGTTTAGCTGATTTGACATGCACACTTGCATGTCCTATTATTTATTATTCGTAGCGTTTTTGATTCCGCTTTTCTTTTTTGTTTAGATGCCTAAGAAAGAAATTTCTGGATTGGTGAAGAAAACATTTTCCTTTCGCTATTAGTTGTTACCCCTTTGGAATCTGGATTATCTGCGCATTTTGACAACGTCTGAAGTCATAAAATGCTTAAAATGTAAAAGAATCGAGTTTACTTCATAACTGTGTATTGCTGAATACGTATGTTATATGGCCTTATTATCGGGAAAAAGAGCTTTTCAAGTTTGTTTTTGTTTGCAAAGGGGGTATATTTTTTTCAATGAACCACTACGTATTTATTTCTACATGAATAAAAAAAAATTCCTCATTTGTAGGTAGTAGGTGTTATTATTAATGTAAAAGATTTTCATTCATGTACATTATAGTATATCGTTGAGCTGAAATTTAGATTACTAAAATATATTTATAATAAGCGTCCAGAGCAAACAATTGAGAAAAAAATAAATATTACGTAGATAAACACATCTCATCAAATTTCTTTATTAACACACATCAATCCGATTATGTTCTGATGTAACGATTTTTTTCGATTTAGTTTAAATGTAGGCGTTAAGGGCACTCCTTATCCATAATCGATTGATTACAAACAAAAAAAAAATTTAAAAAATTTATATCACGGAACTAAGTTTAGATCTATCCCAGAAAATCACAGTTGAACTATAAAAATCACGTTTGTGCACTTATGTACATATCTGTTTGCTGGAAGAAAGGCATAACTAAAAAAACACAGTTCTTAGTTGTGGGTTTCCCGTTGAACAAAAATAAACAATAACTAAAAAAAATTGCATATATTTATCCTAGTTCTTTGGTTCCTCACTTTGTTCAAATATTGTTTTCCACGTATGGTTGCCTGGTCAAAGCAACATCGCAAAAAATATAGAAAAAAGGTATTCTCTTAACAGCGGTCGCCGCTCGGCAGGCTATGGCAAACCTCCGAGAGTATTTCTGTAAAACTGTAGGTCCCTCCGCTTTGTGTGACAACATCAAGGCGCACGCCACAAGTCGGAGGAGAAGCTCGGCCAAACACCAATCTATTATTATTATCAGTTATATTTAGTTGCTTAGCAAATTGGTAACGCGGAAAATTGCAGAGCAGAAAAAAATCTCTTCTAATGAGCCACAGTTAACAGATGTCGTTCTTCATTTTTTAATAGAAAACAAAGAAGGACAGTGCTGTCTTCGGCTAAGCTGAAGACTTAAAACCTTTCATTAACATCACCAAATTTCACTTTAACCCATTCCTGCATCTGAAATTAGTTGTTTGGGAGCTAAAAAAAAAAAATATTTGTATATTCACTGCATGCATAGAGCAGTTATGTAAAAAAATTATATCTGAACAATTAGTGGTATGGAAAATGTGCATCATAAAGCACCGATCTAAATGGTTTTCACTGCTGTGTATCGTATGTAAACCGGTAATACAATTTAATGGTTTTATCTGCCTACATAAACGATCTATATCGTAAAAACTTGAAGCTGAACAATCAGTGGTACAGGTACGGTGACCATCCGTCCTGTATTATACGGGACAGTACTCTTTTTTGTGGTATAGGTACGGTTACCATCCGTCCTGTATTATACGAGACAGTACTCTTTTTTGTGGTATAGGTA